CCCCTTTTTTTCACACACACACACACACACACACACACACACACACACACACACACACACACACACACACACACACACACACTCAGGCTGTTGCGTGATTCCACACAAGTGTGTGTGTGTTGGTCAGAGTCATTAATTTGCCGTCTAGTCTTACCTGGAAAGCCGTCACATGGCGGATGTCGTTTTTCTTGGGGGGGGGCACGCTGGAGCCAAACGAGCAGCATTGGCAGTTGATGGGGTGCACCTGAACCTGCTGAAGCATACAAGAGTAAAAAGTGACGAATATTGTGACATAATGTTGAGAGAGAGAGAAAAAAAAAAGGAGATCAACACCCCTGGAAGTACAACTTCAAGATCTGTTGTGCAAAGGTCAGCGCAGAGTTACTTACACGATTTTGTTGACGGTGCTGTCAAACACGACCACTGCGAACTGCAAAAAAAAAAAGATTAAAAAAGGCGCTTAGTAAGTCAATCATTTTAACAAATATATTGAATTGATATCAGAACTGCGGGCATCCAAGTGAGCGGAGCTGCGGGCGCTTACCTTCCCGACGCGTCTTATGATGTCTCTACTCCCTCTACTGGGCTGCATCGTGCACAGCTCATTGTCAGCAGACTTTGTCAAACAATCAGCACAGTACTGGAAGATATTTTCTTCAAAAACAGTTTATTCATCCTTTAAACAGACCATAAAAAAAAAAGAAAGTATCGTCAAATGTTTCTCTAAAACCTCCGCCGTTCCAAAACACGCCCGACCAACCTCGACTTCGGAGCTAAAACGATAAACGTAGGATACAATTAAGAATTCTGAAATGTAGATTTACTGTCATTTTTTTTTTTTAAAAACAAAATATTCTTTTAGTACACACAATGAAATCATCGGCATTAAACAAACACTAAGCATTATTATTTTTTTAAATAGAAATAGGGGTGGAAGGGAAACTGTTTTTGGTGGTTAACGAAAGAATTCACTCTCTTGTCCATCGATGTTGAGCCTCGGCGTTCGCCGAGTCGTTTTGCGGACAACCGCACAATTCCGCATCTCTGTCGGAAGGCTCGAACGAGTGGAGGGAGCATCCGTGGATGGTGCTGTCCACGCTTAGGCCCAAGCCCGACGAGGAGGTGCTGCCGGGAGACGCATCGGGTCAACGCGGCAGCGGCCTTGTTTTTCGGACAGACGATAAAAGTCGTACCTCTCACAGTCCGAGTCGCGCGAGGCCTTGTCGTCCTCCAACGGGGTCACGCAGACGCTGTCGAACCTCTGGATGGCCTCCGCCACCGTGTACCTGGCCTTGCCGAGAGCGCACCTCTGCATCTTTTTGACGCTTAGGTCAGACTGGAGGAACAGATGGAGTCGACTGTCCGACAACAGCAGCGGCGTGTGGAGAACGCTAGAAAAGGAAATTGGATGCCGTCAATGCATGGCCCGGAGGGGGAGGGGCTTCATTCGGCTCCGAGAAACTCACGTTGCTAAAAACTCCTGCAGGCCCTTCATCCTTTGTCGGACCTGTTCGACGTTCCTCAAGCTGAAGAAAGGATTCCACGGGGGCAACTTGGGGATTTCTCTGGAGGACGACGGGAACGCACGCACTTCATTATTCCCATACAAGGCGCATTTCAATCCAATCGGCGACGCGAGAACGTACATGATCAGAGCGTTTTGTTCCAGGGAACGTCGCAGCCAAACAAATTCTCTGTAACGTCGCCTGACCGTCGAGGCCTTCTTGCGAAAACACATGCTGTTCGTCTGCGAGAGACCAATGACATGAGGAAAACCGACAACGAGCCGCTGAGTGAGGACGCGACGCAACTCACGTGAAGGCAGATTTCGTAGTCGACGTGCGCGCGCCAGTGGCCGTGTTTGTGGAGCCTCGGGTTTCCAACAAAGACGCTGATAAACTCCTGGAGGGGAAAAAAAACAAAGGCTTGGAGGGGATGTGACGAGGATCATTGAATAGTAGCAAGTTAACACTTTGGGCGCTTACAGTTTTGGCGAGGTTGTCAAACATACTGTCCATGGTAGAAACCTACAAGGCAACAACACAGTGGGAGTAAGCTGCATCAACAATGCTTTTCTCAACCATCCGTCGAGCGTCATAATCACCTTCTTTGCTGGCCTTAAAAAAAATATATAGCACAAGCACTGGCCTAAATCAAAACCCAATTCTAACAGTTGTTGCGTGAAAGAGCATCTGACAGTTCCTGGTCAAGAATGACATCACCTGGTCGAAGCAACATCCTTACCTGTGGATTCCCCCCCCGCCTCGCCCCACTCTAATAAAATCTTTTCAAGGCTAACCATGTTGAAAATGTCGACGACATCAAGATGGCCATGATGACGGAGCTGCAGAGAATCTCAAGAATCCTTACATGAGCGTGCGCTTTTGGAATTAAAAGATATGTTTTCCAATCTGACTTCAGCGTCTGTGTCACACTGGTCGTTTGCATGAAACAAAGTGTGACAGGTGTGTTTTACAGCTAAGGTACTTGCAAAACTGAAAGACTCAGGAAGTGCTGCACCTTTCAGCTGATATAAGCAGAAAAGCGAATAAAAGGGCACAGGAGGTGGATTTTAGCACACAACACCAAAAACAGGATTAGAAACAATAAAGCCTCTTTTGCACGCAATCAGCACTAATGCAGGCCAACCAGCAGAATAAATGCATCTATTATTGCGCAACAGTTCCGAGGAAAAATTCATTCCCTCCAAGATTTTATTTTATTTTTTTACTGTACGCATTAATTGACGTCAAAACGTGACACGTTAGCATATATTTCCATGTGACGTTTTTTTGTTGTTTTCCCGACACTAATGAGCAAAATCATTCGGGACATAAGCCGGGGCAGGGTCAATCAATGAGTGCAGATAAGGCTGTGGCCAAAGCCTCTCTCACAGTGGACCAAAATGCACTCTGCTCACGGTCACGTGAGCTCCTAGGCCGGACAAAACATTTGTTGTGCTTCTTTCGGAGTCATGATTATTTCCCCAATACTTCAACGTTTACCTTACAACTTGACACAATCGATAAACAAACCACATTGTACTTATGGTTTCCCTTAGAGGGCCGTTATGTTATAAGTGGGAAGCCATAGATAAATGTCATCACCTCATGATAGTGTGACGTATACGCAACAATGATGGTTAACTAGCTTGGAGAACGGCAGTCAATAAAAGCAGTTGGTTCAACTTAGTTTAAAAATTAGTTCAGGAACAAAAACAAAAATGCTAGCAACGTCCCAGTTATTTAAAAGTGAAGACAAATTGCAATTTTGGCACAGATTTTATCAAGAAACGTACGTCATTTGCTTCATTCGGCCAAATAAAGTGTGGTGGGCTACAACCATGTTTCAGTAGTTAGTCTACATAGTGTTTAAGGATACTTTTCTTGTCAAGTGATTGTATACAATTGCATTGTGAGTTTGTATCTTTTTTTTTTGAATAACATTTCAAATATGAACACACTAAATGTGAAATGTGTCTTTTTTTTCCTCCTGAGAAAATACTGGGAACACTTGCCGTCAAAAGAAAGAAAAGTCGAATTAAATCTGGTTTGAATATGGACATTTTTACAAACCGACACACAAAAGGTTGATAGATTTACTCAAGTGTTTCCATTGTGTGCCTTACCTTTCTCTTGTCCTGAACTCGCTCCAATGTGCGTGTTCAGCCTCTGGTGAACTAAATCAAACGCTCATGGCAACCTCGCCAACTTCCTCGCCCGCGCCTTCTCCTGGCACAAGATATAAAAACAAAAAGAAAAAAAGATGAGCAACGCTGGATAAGAGCTTTAAAAAAGTAGTACGACTACGATAGTGTTGATATTAGTAAAAAAAAAAAAAAGGCTCACCTGTTATTCATGCCGCTCACGGCTCTGGGATTAGTTAATAGTTAAATGATTATCACCTGGTCAGCCCAGGGGGGCGGGGACTGTGGCCTCACAAACACGCACATAAACAATGCGAGTAAAAACATTTAAACTCATGCGATACGACAAATTGGAGCAAATTAATGTGAATAAACAGTATTATTATAATGGTGAGATTGACTCAAGTTTACATAACCAGAGGTAGCAAACCTTACGTTCTAGATCGAAGTATACCCGTGGGGAAAAAAAAAAAAAAATCAAGGCGAAAATGCGTGCACTTCAGGTTGTGAAACATGACCCTGAGCCTCAAATTAAGTTAAATATTTTGCACCTCTCGATAGTGATGGGAAAATGTTCCTTCAAATGCAGTAGAGAGCCATTAAAAGAAATCAGTAATATCCCACCCAAAATAAATAAATCAGTTATAACGCACTATATTTGGTTCCTAATTATATATTCAATTTAATGGAAGTCATCAATCAAAGTTCACCCCACTGCCTTTAAAATCCCTGAAGACCCTTAAATAAGCAATATGACTTTAATCACTATGTCATTGACGCTTGCATATTCACATATATCCCGGATAAAAAAAATGTTAAGGACACTAACACTGGGTGGAAGCTCAGCAGTAAAGTCAAGTAATTCACAAACACCAGCTTTTAAAATGTGCAGACAGTAGTAGGGTCTTTGTGGTGGGTGGAGTCGTGGCTTTTCCAGTCGTTGGTTTAATTGCGGTGGTGCAATTTCCAAAATGTTTAATAAACTGTATGATAGTACTGACAAAGGTGCAGTATTGGGATCCTTTGTGCATTTGAATAAATTCCAAAGAGTGAAGCTTCACGCTGCTGCAAAAAGTCACGAGAAGACAACCTTGATTATTGCAGCATAAAACTGGACGACAATCATGGTTCGGTATGTCTGCATTCACGTACAGCTTCATGACCCCAAGAAATGTGCATAGAAGAGATGGCAGAGCTGCATTTAGATATGTCCAAATCTCTATACGAACCTTTCTCATTAAATTACCTATCTTGTCGCCACATCATATGATTTTATTTTGAAAATCATTTCTTGAAATGCCAGAAACAAAAACAATTTGAGCTTCCGAACGATCTAAGACAGTGCTTCTCAAACTTATTTTAAGTACCGGTTTGTCAACTTGATGATCTAAACTTAACGACAAACAGAAGGGGGGGGGGGGGCTAACCATAAAAATCAGCGGACCTTAAAACGTTGGGCACAGAGGAATTTGAAACAGGACCGTGACCAACTGTGGAAACAGAGCGGGAGAAGCAAGATATTCCCCCACCCTTGTCCTTAATGTTGGCTCAAAGAATGATTAGTGGCAAATGTGTAGTAAGAAGTATCATTTTAGAGACTTGAATCTTTCGAATATGATCAATATTGAAACAGGGTGGCCAATTGTGACAGAATTTTGATTTAGAGTGGAAATTTGGTCAAAAAACTTTATTGGAGTCGAAGCAATATATACAAAAAAAAAAAAACAACAACAACAACACTACGGTGACAAAACAACAGAAGGAAAATGACGACAGACAAAACTTGCGGCGAGATGGTGAAAGCAACGGCAGCGGACACCATACGTTACGCGGAACCAAAAGCAACTCTGGGATGAGGCCGGGGGAAGCGGCAACTGCCGCCAACCACGTATCTTTAAAAATGGCACACTTTTGCGAACATATCGATCGTGCGGAACAATTGCAATCTCTGACGCTCCGTTTTGAAGATGGACTAAACAAAATCCCCGCCAAAAAAAAAAAAAAAAAAAAATCCTACAACAGCTAAAACTAGAAGGCCGGGCCAACGAAGGAGAGTCAGTCCTGAGGAAAAAAGGGGGCGTGGGTGGTTTGAGGAGGTGCGAAGCGGCCCGGAGGCAGCGACTACTGAGCTTCATCCTCTGGACACGAGTGCCATGTTAACCTCTCCTCGTAGAAGGCGATGACCACTTGAGGGCACTTGGTGTTGGCCTCGCGGGCCGGGACGAGGTCGGCTTCGTCCGAGTCTTTCCTGCAGTGAAAAATGAATGGAACTGCCTCAAAAAATAAAAAATCACGAGTAGCATTTCTTTGCCCGGACCGCTCAGCGCAACATGGCAACCTTACTCATCCCTTATTCTTACAGAAACACCTGACGAGGAATTGCGACTCTGAACAAGTCGATTAACTTGTTTCATGTCTTTTGGGCGGCTAATCAATAAACGTCTTACCATTTCATCAAGAACATCAACTCTCCACTGCTGTCTGTTGCACCGATGATTCTTTCTGGATCGAGTTTCCTCGCAAAGCCTCTGGGCTTCTCGGGCTGCAAATGGGGATAGTAATTAGCATATTGTGTATGTACGTGGCTGGGGGGGGGGAGGCGCAAGCTTTCAAAGATATTTTGTGCTTCTTGTTTGTTGACTTCATGCCGCGGCTGTTGCTACGATGTCACAGAGCAGACTGAAGCGTCACGCCTTATGAATCATAGCAATTCCCGCTATGGAGTGGCACCCAAAACGAGGCGTCTTCGGGGAGATGCAATTAGTCGTTGGGGAGTGAAAGCACAACACACACCTGCTCCCCAAGCACACCTGAGACCTTGTAATAAGCTAATGAGTCACATGACACCAGAGTGGAAATAAAATTAAAGCTAATTTGGACATCATTTCTACTTGGTGATTTCTAAACGAATGAGTGGGTGTGCGACAGTAAATGATTACATTGTAGCAAAGTGTCATTCGTTTCGTGTTGTCCGGCGAAACATTCGCAAATGCGTGAATTCGTAACTACTTACGGCATCTTTTTTCTTCGCATCCATCTCAGTTTCGTCTGCAGGCGCCTTTCTTTTCAGGGAAGCCGGCTTCTCCTTTATGTTCTTCTGGGCTTCGAGAAAAGCGTTGATGAGCTCCGGACAATCCAAGTTCTCCTCTGGTTCCCAGGTGTTGTCAGCTCTGGATGAGCAAAATTGAAGTTTTTTTTCACAATGAAAGTAAAAAGCAAGATCAGACCGGTACCCCGAAAGACTACTTCACACCGGATTGGATGCAAACGTGCAGGGTCCTCATGCAACGACAGAATTAAATGGACAGACCCCATAACAGGGAAGCCCTTTGAACACAGCATGGAGGGGGGGGGGGGGATCGGGGGTCTGTCCCGAGGCAACTCACTCTGTAAATCCTTTCCACTTGAGGAAGAACTCCACCTTCCCATTCACAATACGCTGGTCCAGAACTTTTTCCACCACAAATTCCTCAGGTTCCTCTTGTGTGCCCTGCCCCCCCTGAGAATCCTTCCTACTCTTGGTATTCTGCTTCTTGCCCATGCTGTCCTCTATTAAAAAAAGATAATAAACAGTAAGATTTCAAGTGTTCATAAAAAGTATTCACACACTTAAAATCAAGCTGACGCACCAGAACAATTTGTTGGGTCTAGACCAGCTTAACCTACAGAACCCTGAGATATTGGAAGCCTGTATCCCACTAAGCTACGGGACAACACGTCCGTTTTACGCGACATAGAGCAAGTTTCTGCAAGAACGATGTTCTCCAGGTAACTGTTGGATCATGATTAAAGACCCCAAGTTTGCGCAGATGACTGCTTATCGTTGGGGGATGCGGTGGCGCACTCGACCTATTATTTGTCGTGGAAAACGGAATAAAGCCGACAATAAGTTGGTGCAGATGTTAAAAGGCTGCACGGACGCCCGATTTGACTTTTGAAGCGGCGGAATTAATCCTCAAGTTCCGTTAACCAACGACTAGAAACGTATACGCAAGGGATAACTTGGACGGTTAGAACATGCACACGCGCGCGCGAGACAAGAGAGTGAGCCTATCAATTAGCTCAAAGAAAGGAACGTTTTAAAAAGGAGCGGTGTAAATAATTACGGGGCACTCGTTGCCTCCGTGAAAACGCACGTTTTCGACTCACCTAAAAACAATTCGGCGATGGACGGTGAACACGCGGTCAGCTTCTTTATTCCAACTCCCACAGGCGCCAAGCAAGCTAGCTTCTGGCCTCCTACGGAAGCCTGGACGGAAAAGGCGCGTCGCTCTTCGTTGTTTTCACTTCCGGGAAGCAATTGGTAGCTTTTTTTTTTTTTTCTCCACAAACGTGAGTCTAGTGACGGATTTCGATGAATACCACTTGAACTAATATTGATGTTGTAATTCCCCTTAATTTTTATCCACTATATATTCACCCATCCATCCAGAGCAGTTTAGTATTTTATTAGTAGGCTCTAGTTTACATGTATATTTAATGACATAGGAATACGGTATTTGAAGGGTTGAAGACGAGGCACACTGAACGAGATTGTGACATAAATCTGTTTATAGATTTTCAATACTTATCAACTAGCACCAAGAACCACAAAACAACAGTTAGAAAGGTAGACAAAATGGTATATAGTGCTGAATATGAATGCTGGATTTTTTTAGTTAGGGGTCAAACAAAAACAGGTTTGAACCAGATATATATATTTTTTAAAGATGCCAGCGCATCAGATAAAACGGAATAGTTTCAATTTCAAATTTATGGAGATAAGTATGGAATTGCACTTTTATTGGAGTTCTCCAAGGAAATGGCACGTTTACATAGATGACAGGTCAAATGTATGTGAGATGACAACACAAATCATGAATTCATTGATACCCTCTCGAATTCAGCTGTTATATCGAATCGTCCCGCAGTCCAAAAGCGTATCAATTAAGTTTTTTTATGAAGAGATAGTAATACTATTTATTGGAGTATGGTAATGGGTGAAGCATAGTTAACATTAAAAGCTGTATTATTACAGTATTGTTAGATCACCTAAAAAAAAATCAACAGCTATATTGTCACAGAACCACTCAGGTCCCTGAAGCAGTTCACATTTTGATTTGGTGTGACTCAAAAACTTAAGCATTGACAATGTAGGAAAGTGTTAACATTCTTAAATGCAAGAAAGAGACATGCATTGTTTATATTTTTAATCAGAATCATGTCAGAAACCATCTTGAAGTCCCCCCAAGAAGAAAACAGACTACCACATCCAACAACACCATGCAATCAAAGACATCTGGCCAGCAATGATGGAGAGAAGAGGGGGGAGAACATTTATACCAAGTCAAGTTAAAAAGTAAACACTTGGTTAAACCAGATAAATAAAAATGGAAAATGTGAGAACCAAAGAAAGAATGAACTAAGTTGTGGATGTCAATCTATTGAGGATCTTCTTTTTGAAGACTTTGCAGAATGCCTCAGGAAAAAAAAAAAAAAAACACACAGCAACCCTCACTAAATACTTTTCAGTCCCAAACATAAAATGTGATTGTATCTTTAAGGGGATAGTTTAGGATCATACAGTGTAATAATCATACATTTTACCAATGACCGGAGTGATAGTTAAAGCGTACTTAATATATTTTTCAACATTTTTCCCCCCCCTCAAGTTTTAAAATGAACTCAGGTGGAAAGGTAGAAAATAATCCTGGCAAATCTCTCAAATAAATGAGTACAAATGGTGCTTTAAACCAATTCATGATGATTTCAAATTGTGGATCATGCACATCACAAACCATCCAATGCAACTTAAGGCCTTGTCAGTTTAATCATTGGTATACCGTTGATGTCATCAAGACATAAGCAACACAATCTCTCATCTTATTTCAAACTCGAATACAGCACACACTTGCAAAAATCCGAAAGAACTCTGTAAACATCAGATATGTCATTTGCCAGTTCTTTCCACTTTTAGGATCCGGTTGCCATTATAGAAAAAAAGGACAGTGCCGTTTGACAGCTTTTGATGCGTGTGAAAGAAGCATTTCTCGCACTTCAAAATGGTTTAATAAATACAGCCTTGAAACACCTGCTGGGAGTCGCAGCGATACTGAGAGGATGAATTCAAACAAGACGTCCCCGTAATCTTGCCTGGCTGGCCATGCTGACACGTAAACATGCCCGTCGCTGAGACTAGCCAGCATTCATTTGTGATCCATTTTGATATTTGCAGGCACACAAAGCGAGTGGTTTGCGTCACTTACAGTCCCATACAAACTTTCCTTTCAACGTGTTCATCTGAAAGAAGCTTAGGATGTCCAGTGTGTAAGCTACATTTACCCCCCCAGGAGTCATTTTTATCTTTTTTTTAAACTAACTCTTATGATGAGTTTCTCCTTTTTTGGCAGCTTTATAAGACTCCCCAACAGCAGTGGTTTGACACGCGTGCGCGCAGACCCTTGGTAAGGCGATCCCGCAGCCGGAGAAAGGCAAGAAAGTTCCGCTTGAGGTTGGACAAAGAAATACTGCGTCACTGCTTTTTCCCCTTCTTCCTCTTGTCCGTTTTATTGCTGGACGATGTGGAGACAGCCGGCCTTCTCACAGGCTGAACGACCACCCTCCCGTTGGCCCCGCACTGCAGGGTGAATCGGTCCGGGTTCAGGGGCCGTCCCGAATCATCTCTCAGGCGAGCCAGGACGTCTCTGGTGAGCTGCTGTATCTGCTGCCCCACGGCCCCCATCGTCTTGGCCGTGATTTGTTTCTCCCTCAGCAACCGGTCCCTCTGGGCGTGGAGCCGGTCCACCTCCTCCTGGAGCCCCGTGATGGCGTCGAGTTTGCGCTTGCGGCAGTTCTGCGCCGCCAGCTTGTTCTTGCCCCGCCGCCGGATGTCCCGGAGAAGCGTCACCTGTTCGGGGGAGAAGCCGTGCCCGTCGACGATCTCCAGGAACTCCTCCACGGGCATGTTGACGATCTGCAGGACGGAAAACGGGATGCACATGGCGCGGGCGCGCAACTCGTCGCGACTCAGCTCCCGCTGTCCAAAAGTGGGCCCCTCGTCTTCGCTCGAAGGCTCCTCCTTGATGCCTTTGTGGGGGAGAGTGACTGGTGGCAGGTTCAAAAAGGCCGAAGATGAGTAGCTGTGGTCGTGCCACACGCGTTCACTGAGATCCACGCGGGGCCACATGGTAGCGCGGTCCAAAACACCCTTAAAGGGGAGGGAATCCACCTCGCTGCTGTAACCTGTTGCTCCGCATTCATCTTCGCATGAGCTGGACGACGATGACATCTCGGATGAGCCTGAGCGAGAGAAGATGATTTCGTTGATTAGCTCAAAGAACAAACCTCAAGCGGGACACTTCAGTTTGGTACTACTAACTAAAACAACTACGAAAAGCACCTAACGGTTTGATAGCTGGTAAAAAATTCTCTAGTGCCACACGCGGCAAACCAAATCGAAAAGTACCGATTGGTTAAAATGACGCTCAAGAATGCATTCATCGGGTATGAAAGAAGAACCCACCTGGGGAGACCGGACCTCCAGAGCTGCTCTCCAGGGAGAGACCAGAGTCAGAGTCCAAATCCTCAAGGATGTCTGGGTTTATGCTTCCCAAAGAATCCATCAGCGGCGAGTCCATGTTTTCCAAGCCCTCCAACCCCAATTGATTGATCTGGTCAAAGACGGCCTCATCCAAGCAGTCGCCCGGCGCGCTTTGCAACGACGTGCCGCCACTTAAGCTACACACCGAGGCGAACGGGAGCGCAGCCAGCCCCAGGGCCATCCCCGCTGAAGCGTCTGAGCGGGTGGAGCCGGTGGATTCCTGTCGGAATAACGGCCTATGCTGCCTGCCGTCATATGCTCCGCCGCTGGTTACCATGGCGTCCAGCAAAGCGGCATCCAGGTTGATGTCGCTGCTGCTGTCTATGTCCAGGTCTGACAGGCGCTCGGTAACGAGAGAGTCCAAGTCCTACAAAAGCAGCCCGATTTGACTTCCTTTAACGCCTCAAGGTCATTTGCAAAAAAATAAAAATAAATAAAAACATGGATCTGACCGTGACATGACAACTTACGTCGAGGTTAGCGACGGGCATCGAGAGGAAACTGCTCCAGTGCTGGTCAAAGTCGGTCGTGGGCGGCGGGCCACGCGGTGACTCAGACAGTGCAGCGATGCCATCAAGCACACACTGCAGGCGGATCACAAATCAAGGTTAAACATGCTGAGCAGGATTTCACGCTCAATTCTGACAGTTGCGCCGTCGCTGCTGCGAGCGCTTTTTGTTTTGTCTTTTGGATCACGTCTCGGCCAATCCAGTTTTTTGTTTTGTTTTTTTTTTTGCTAGGCAATGTTAGCCATTAAGTTCAGCGCAATGCCCTGACAACAGTTTCACGTTGACTCTACGGCTACAACACCAAATTAATAGATAACAATTATTTGAAAAAAGTGTGGCGTGCGTTGTGGCGCATGCGAGCAGTTCACCGCCTGATCACAAAGACCAGAAGGAAAAAAAGTTGCAATTGAACGACACTATAAGTTGATTTCACTGCCAAGGAAGAACATAACGCCTTTGAGTATTGTGATACTACCTCCATAATTACGAAATGAGATTGTGACAAAAAGACAACAAACAACTTGTTCAGGCGACATTAATCAGTCAATGATTTTCATGCTTATTCAGTTTTCTTCAGTCTGAGGAAAAAGAAAAAAAAAAAGGAGCGGGCACACTTCTTGAACATAATCGAGGAGGCGGCGAGGAAAAATTGACGAGATCATGCCAAAATAACAATTCAACGGGCCTTCTGGAATGTAACGTTTTCCGAAGTCCAACAGCGTTTGTTGACAAATATTTGGGGGCCGAACCAACAAGGTCCATCCATACCTCTTGTTCCAAAGTGGAACTGAGTGCCAGCTGAGTGACAGGAGCAGATTCCTCCTCCTCTTTAACGACATCATCATCCTCCTCGTCCTCCTGGCAGGACACACGCAGACAGATGGTGAGGAATGAAGTTTACGAAAAAGGATTAAAATGATTCAAAACACAAGCGCTCTAAGGGTCAGACAAACTCTGCATTTTGGTTGAAAAATTTGTTCTGTCAAAAGTTTTTGGGGGGTTTTTATTCTTGCAAATTAAAGGAATGATGAGACTGAGATGTTTGTTTTCATGAGCAGCTGTTCGAACACCAGATGGAACTGAAACCGAACTTAACTTTTACAAGGAAAAAAAAAAAATGCACATGGGCCCTTTGGGACAAATTTGAATTCTGTAAGCAAGTGTTTGCGTGCATGAAAGGGATGATTAAAAGTTTTCAGACAACTATGCAGCAGTTTTAAATATCACGCATTTAACAAGCAAAACAATCCACGTCAGCAGAGCGCGAGCGTATAATATTCTTGTTATCGCCGACTATTATTTTCTGCTCTGACGAGATAAGGTCTCGTTTGTTGCAATCCATGTTACTGTACAATAAATTATAGGGGCTAAAATATGATTTGACTGCTCTCCAAGCTATGGCTGAGCACTTTTAATGCTTTGAAATATCAAAGGTGTGGGCGGGGAGGGGGCAATATCCATATATGGGAAGGGCGGAGGTCTTCGCCCCACATTCTCCACCTCTCAAGAGCCACAGCTGGCCGTTTGGGTCTGGAGAAAGGAGATATGATTACACAACTGGCGCATCAAGTGCTCTCAAGAAGGAACAAACCCAACAGGCGTTTTCCATTCTTATCAAAGCCTGGGAAATGTTACCGACACGGCATGTGATGCCAAACGATTCACGGTAGCGCCATGTGACACAAAATATCATCTGGGAGAGCAACGGTGAGATTTAAGCGGGTTGTGTTCATTTAATTCTGGCGCTTGACAAGAACTTGCTGATTTGATGGAGAATGGCCGGCGAGCTCGCTAGAACCGGCCGGGTGATGTCAATGAATCCACTCGTGTTATATTCCAAGCAAATCGGGAGTGAAATGGAAAGGGAAAGTCCATTCCTTTTCAATCATTTTGCCTTCTGAAAAGCGTATCAAAGTAATGTGACCTTTGTTGGGCCTTCTTTGGCATTCACGACGGCATGAAGGCGGCGGTGCATGAATGGGATCAGCCTTTGGGACAGGTCGGGTGTTATTGTAGCCCAAGTTGCGTTGACGCCGGCCATCGGGATCGTCTGCATTTCGGAGTTTCTGTTTGCTCAGCTTCCTCTTGACAATAGCCCACAAATTTTTCAATGGGGTTCAAGTCAGGCCAGTTTTGCAATCCTGTGGAAGAGGATTTCATTGTTCTGCCTGTCACGGGCATTGAGAGATGATTTTTGGAAAAATGACATGAGGGCACATGAGTGGGTCGAACCACTGCTACTGACATTTGGTGACGCATTTTAGAGTATATGACGGTGTTCCAGGGCTTTGGTTCAATCGAGAACGACAAGCACTTGCTTACTTGTGGAAAAGATGACATCACTAGCTAGCTCGACCAGTTAGGTGCCGTCAGCTCTTCAAAATAATCCACTTCTCAGACAGGCCTCACGCTACGAACATTCAACTGTATTGTTCCGGGTTCCCTATTTCAACACACTTGGTGGATTGAGGGAGGGACGTCCTTGTTTAACATTCTGCTGACTTCACATGCTCAGAATAGCATGCCCTGCTTGTTTAACCGCAACGATTGCCGATTTAAATGTAGTTTGGGATGTGAAGGTGGCCTGGGGTTCATTGGTGGAAGTACAACAAAATAAGATGTTTCAGGTATCTGTACTTGAATATTTTTCTCTGAATTCCGCCCTCCCCACCGCCCGTTAACTTTTACTCCCATCATCTGAAAACAGTATTCTGTACTTTCAACTCCTTATTTTGTCAGAATGGGCTTGTTTGTTTTTGTTATCGCTGTGGATGTTGACGTGTTCGAAATATGTACTGTAAGTTGAGAGGGGTAACGTCAACTGCGGGCTTGATCTCCAAGTTGTTTTTCATGGTACAAAGTTATAAACATGGGGATCAGATGGTGTTCTGCAAATTGTGAAAATCCGCAATTGACACCTCCCGCCGCCCCCACCCCGGAGAGGTTCATTGGCTGGCGCCAAAAGTAATACTTTTTATTGCTTTATAGCTAAGAGGTACAAAAAAGGTGACTCTGTCGATACAGAACCGCAAATAAGTCGGTTTCAGAAAAGCATAACATACTGTGCGTCATTTTTAACGCAATAAATTTCTGAGTATGTCGTGTTCTACTTTTACTCTGTCCTTCCATTTCAGTACAGAGAGCGAGTACAGTACTTTTATTTTTTTTGTCATGGCTTATGAAACAGTTAAATACTCACACTTAATTAAACCCTGCTATCGGAAGGCCTGCATGGAATTTTTGTGATATTTCACAAGTAATTGCTTCCCAGAAAGTTATATTTGCCTGTAGGTGCCACAAGATGGGAAGCAAAACAACAACTTCTGCCAAGAAGGAAACTCCTCAACTCACTTCAACATAGTTCTTTGGCTCACAGATGGCACTATTCAGTGTCAAAAGTAATAATTGTATTGCTTTATAGTATTTCTTTTCTCATCAAGTTACAAAAATAAAATCGATAAGATAGGTATTCACTGTATAATACTGTATATATTTTTTACTTGTGTACGTTCCACAGCCCGTACTTTTACTTGACTATTTTCTGCTTTTACACAACAGCGTTAACTCAGTTTACACAAGTATCTGTATTTCTACTTCTCATCGTACTTCATCACTTCCTTACTTTGCGGAGCTTTATGCAACATCACACAACATACTTGCCTCTGTTATAACCCTGCTGACACAAGGCTCAGGTGGAGATGATCGCTGAAGCTCTTGGTTCCTGTCATCACTGGCTTGGTAGCTTTCTGGGTCCGGCTCGGTGTCTTCGCTGCTGCTTGTTGAAGGCTGTCCACCGTCAGACTTGTCAACGGGCGACACTTGGTGCACCAGCCATGCGTTCAGCTGCGTGGGGAACCGCGGAGAGCCCAGAGTCCGAACCTCCTCTAGAAGCCGGCGACTTGCAAAAAAGTAGTCCAACTCGGGGCATTTGGGGTGCACGGTGTATCCCCCGAGAGTGTCTCTTAAGTTATGGAAGGGCGTCTGGGTGTAGGCTGAGCTGGGACCCAAGTTAATCTCAATCAGAGGCGAGTAGTAGCCGCTCAAGTAGCTGTCGATGTCCACGCGAACTCCAATCAAACTGAGCAGGATGGTCAACTGAATCAGGCCTTCTGTGAAGTATTTTTTCGCGACTTGCATTTTCTAAATACGTTGGCGCTGCGAATAAATATGTAATGCTGGCTTCAACAGTTCCTCTTTTTTTCCCCGAGTGGACAAAGGGAAAAGCCTGAACAAAGAGCACGCCTTCCCCTGTCAGACAAAGAGGTCCGCCTGTACCGGCGAACTCGTTGGTTAGCGAACGCTATGCTAGGTACTAAGCTTCCAGCTTTATGACCAATTACCGTAAACCTCTTGGAACAAACATAGCGAAACACGCTTCCTTTCAATCCTTTGTAGTAGACCGCTTGTCGTTTTAATGTTCAAAGCCCAAAGACGTCATTAATGTTACATAAAGTGCGCTGTCGGTGAAGCTCAATGCGGATAACCATAGAGTGCTCCACAGAAAAAAAACTTCGACAAGATTTGCATAACTAAGGGCGATTGGGTAATAGAGTTGACTATTGCAAGAGCTGATTGGATAATTTGGCCGTCTGTCATAGGTTTACCCAATGACATTTCCTCCTTAACAACTACATCCTATTTCCCATGCAACAGAAAACCACAAATATTTAGATTTTTAAAAAATGACAAAAAAAAAAACATTTATGCCGCCTCACAAAAGTACACCGGTTTATGGTAACGACGAATATGCCATATCTCTAAATATCAGATTTAGTTCACGGTTCATTTCCAAAATCTCACGGGCTACTCCCATTTCTCTGACAGTTCGGCAACGGTATAGTTTGGTTGCACTAACTGGAATCATGTGTCTGGCTGGGACAGATCGCACTACTGACCTGCTTTTGTACTATGTTTAGCCTACTGGTAAACGTTAGAATTACAGCAAGAACTCGGTAAACTTATTTACAGGCGTCATCAAAACAACTTATGTAACTAATATTTTTTCCTCTACAAATTCACTAATCCGTCTGTATTCTACATTCTCATTTTGGTACAGGTGTGACAACATCCAGTCGCACAGTCACACCTATGGACAATTAGTCAAAACCTAAAATTAATGTTTTCGGAAGATGGGAGGAAGCTCGATTACCGGCAGGCGTTCTCTGAAACCCTGCCAAATGGCAGGGGTTCTCTGAAAAACACTTCTTGCACAACATTGGAGACAAAAGTGGAGAACGGCAAAGACGTAAAAAGCTTCATCAAAGTTGTGAGTTGCACAATTCCCATGTGCTGCCCTTCAAACTCTGAGTGGATGAATAACGCTAACTACTCATTAAACCCATTACCAACTTATTAGATTAATGTGTCACGTACATTTCAGGAATAAAACCTATGTCTCTTCTTTAATGGAACCTTAAACCTACCATGCTGCTGTATTTTAATGCCATAATAATTTTGATGCTACTTGGAGAGCTCAATGTTTTTTTTCAGTGGAACTTGGTTAAAAAGGCTTGAGTAGCACTGATGGAGGGAGTGATTCTGAACATTGCCTATGAGTAGTTTTACCACTACTGTAGTACTTTTTCGTATGTGGCTTGATAGTTTAACTGCCCCATATTGCATTGCATCTCTGATCCACTGGTGAAAGGACACTTTGATTCTCTCCTCTTTCATCTAGAACTGCTTCAAACAACAAAGCACATGAAGGAAAAGTGGTTAAGATTGCACGACTGTGCGAGTTTTTATGTTATGTGTTGTGTTTATGATTTACTTTATGTTAACTGTTTTGTAAAGTGCTTTGTTACAACTGCAGCTGTTGTGAAAGCTCGATATAAATCAGGATGTATTGTATCGTATTGCGTTTTGCAAACTGGCCGATCGTAAAACTCTTAATTTGTGACAAAATGTCATCATAAACATATTAACTAACCAACCGAACTAATCAACAACAAAGTAAAATGTATGCACTTTATTGCTTGATCAGCTTTGGACAAGCTGGCTTCCAGCTACAACTTTCTGCCTCTGTTGCAGGATAGAAAATGTGCATTTCTTAACTGGCTCAACTGCGACACCTGCTGTTCAAACGTGGCAGCACTAATTTGACAATACTTTTCAGGTCTGATCACATAGTAATAACATAGACTTTCGCAGTTTTGGGTTCTTTGTTCTTTACTACTAAATAAATGTTTGATTGCAGAAATCCTCTTTATAAACCGCGTGTACTGACCCACCACCAACACATTAACCAATAATGGCAAAAGTCAACATACACAAAAGATGTCAGACTGATACAAAAGTAGCAACCTATTCATGCATGTCACCAGTCCCTTAAAAAGTTTAAAAGCATTTGTCCCTAAAAAGTACTCGTCGAAATCACCGTCCCACGAAAATCATCGTCTCGTAATCCTCCAAATAACCGCTGAAAAAAGGGGAAAAAAACACGTGGAAAATGATCTACTCCAGTTGGTCGGACACAATTTTAACAGTCACCTGATTAATCCACAAGCATTTTCATAACGATGTGAAATACAGTTAAATCATCTTTGTGAAGTTCTGACAGATTTATTGCAGCGAGAAGGCGGCTCTTAAATCATGGCCACACGTTGCTCTAAGCTCCGAGTTGATTGGTGGAATATCGTGTGACGTCAACAATTTTCACGCATGCGCATTATAATGTAAGGGGGTCACGGGGAAACTGAGGGAACCGCAAACGAGTTTCATCGGCACTATTTCCCAACCTTGAATAATGGGAGTATTTGCTGAGTGATTATTTTTTTTCCAAGTTATATTTGCACATTTAAAGTTTTATTTCAAATCAATCCATCTTTGACGACGCCAGTAATATGTTTTAAGTTTGTACTTTAACTTTTTAAATTGTATCCATATTTATCAGTCTTTGGAATGAGTCGGTTTTCCACGCTGAATAGACAGTGCATGAAACCTATTCAATTTGACGACGAGGCTATTGATTGGTAGCCGACTTGATTTAATAGTCACACTAAACGTCTGAGCAGGCACTACTGGCATTGATTGGAGTCTGCTTAAATTAGATTAAACGATTACTTCACTCTTCCAGATGCTTCGTAACTTTAGAATTTTTAGTTCTGGTAACCTACATATATGTATATTTTTTGCAAACATTTAGCCATCGTTTTTAATTAAAACTAATTTCTTATGTAATGACATAATTCCAAATAACACGAAGAAAAAAACACTCATTGGGTATCATCCAATGTTTAAGATTTTTAAAATATTTAGAATATTTTAGAACCAGTTAATTGTTTCTCACATTTAACAACAAAAACAAATGAAGGTAATAAAAATAAGAGGGCCATTCAATTTGATCACAATTATTTTTAAATTGTTGATTTACCGTTGAATAAGTATTTTTAATATTTTGTGGAGTCAGTATCAGAAGAGAAATAAAATAAAATCTATATTATATGTTAAATATCGAAGTAAATGTGCATGTTTTTTTGTTTTTGTTTTTATCCGTGTGTGCGCGTGAGAGAGAAAGAGAATGTATGTGTGAGTGTGTGTGAGCGTGTTTTTTCACAGAGAGGAGCTCTGCCCTCCAGAGAGGAAAACATCAGACTGGCTGCCTCTCTCACTCCAGACCCCGTCGCTGTTTGATTGACAGGTAGCTTTAGCCAATCATCCGCGGGCATCGACACCCGCCCTCTCTATTGGTTCATCACATCAACTCCCACACATTGCATCAGCCAATCAGAAAGGGCTCGGTCGCGCTCCTTATTCGGGTAGATTCTCTGGCGCCGCACAGTGGAAGTATTGTGGTTTGACAGTTGGCTTGTCGTCTGCGAATCAAAATTAATTTCTTTTCTCTAAATCTCCCTTTCCAATCGTGCCTTGTTTTAATAATCATAACACTCAGCAAATTTTTTCCCGGCAAAGTCTAGGAGGAAATGCGGCTGTATTATTTAATCCCCCCCGATCTAGCACATCTGTTTTATTACCACATACTTTCCAATAATTTATCCACCGTTTAGTTGAGACAATTTATCGTCGCTGTAATTTTGTAGATTAAGACACAACCACTAGGTGTCGCCACTGTTCAGCAGTTAGTGCATCACCGTGCTTTGCAGCAGGACATTTGACTTGGATGTGGATTTCTTCACGATGCTTCATAATGATGCTGTTTAACTTCTCCAAGCATAACCGAAAACTATAAAATGTTGCATTTTTAACTTCGATACATTTTTTTTCGTATTCCTGCATGTACCCTCCACACATTTCAGAAGAAACAAGAGGCCACGGCGAGGCCGAAGTGAAAGAGGCGCTGACAAGATCCTTCACGCCCCCCCCCCCCTTTTCTTTGAGCTCAAGAGGCAGGACTGGATTTGATGTCAGAGTCTGAGATGGCCGCCTTGATAAAGTCGGTCTGGCTTGCCGAGACTGGCAGCCATCCCTTCTCGGAAAAGAAAACAGAAAGGCCCTTCATAAACAGAAGAAAATGGCCGTTACTGAAGAAAAACAGCTATGCACCAATGCGTGCTGGTGATTTGGAACGTTACGACTGTGCACACATAAATACTGATGGGCTTTTATGAATGTCTCTTTGAAAATGGTGCTTCAATGAGGAAGCGAGAGGCCCAAAATATGTGCGGTAGGTTGCATGTGGCCATCGTGTGTATTAATCAGGTGAAGGCATGTCGCTCCCGTGTTTGAGGAAACCTTTTTCAGTCCAAACCGTGGCTATTGTGACCACTACTAATGGACTTCCTCGCCCTGTCCCTCCTTATTCCCCCATATCATATCCATGCATCCCTCTGGGAGCTGATTAAAAGGCTTTCTACCTCGGGCGAGGGGGAGAAGATGAGTAGCAAGTGAAGAAGAGTGGTCCTTATTACCCTGGATGTCTGTACATGAGAGGGTGGAGTGAAGGTCCTCTTTAGTTAATCGATAGAGATAGCGTTCGCCTACACTGTCGGTGTCTCTCGGCCTCTCTCCCCCTCGTCTCCCTCATGCCATTAGAGATAATGTGTCTCCTATTGACACAGCTAGGTCTCGGGACCATGACAGAAATACAGTTGAGCCACTGTGAGGTCGAGCGCTGAGTCATTAAAAAAAACAACAACAAAAAAAAAAGTGGTTGCTTAACCTGGTTGACTGCATGTTCTATTCTTTCAGCATTTACAAATGTCTGCTTTTGTAATTACACCAGTCAACACATTTTTACTTATTTTAAAAATCTGATATTCAAGTAAACCTTTGTAGATACAGAATCTGACCCCGGCAAAAATAATCTGATTCGTTATAAAACTTCACAACTGTAATAAAATTGTAACTATTTAGCAGGTGTAGCAGTTAGATTTTTTTTTCCCACCCCGGTCATGTCATCCACTTTGCCACTTGCTGCTAGGCACTCAAAACTAGAGAGGCCAATTAAACAATTGGAGTATGCCAGCCACACTCACGATGTTTGAATGGACAACTAGGTAATAATGAATGAATTTGTTTAGACACATTATTGTCCCATTTGAATCGCTCCTCTGTATTAAATATCAAATTCAGAATGAGAAATGACACCATCTGGTGGGGAACTACCTCCTGCACCGTTCACATTCTCCACCAGTTCAATACATGACGTGATTGTGTGCATATGATAGCACGCCGAGCAGCTTTCTGCTTGGTAACAATTAAAAAAAACAAAAAAAAAAAAAAACAATAAAAAAATTGCTGACCGACATAAATCCGATAAATGCAGCCGAAACAAAATCATCAAAAAAACGTTTTGACACTTCTGGGAGTTGTAATGGAGAGTTATTGGCTGTAGCCGAGCTGCGAAATACAAGATGCTTGAGGGGATTCCTGGCAAAGATAGACTGATATCAAGATTTACATTCGATAATAATACGGCGGTGATGGAAGGTATAAACTTACTGAAGTCGTGAATTTGAGTTACTTGTGCTTTACTTGGCTTGTTGCGTTTGCTAGCGGCGTCGTGAATCACCACGCCGCCGTGGACGATACAGTAGTGTGGCTGACTGCCGGGTGATAATTTACTTCCTTTCACTGGCAAAGCCTGATGGAAATAACAGCATGTGTCGTATGCAAATGCCCAAATGTGTCCTTTTGGAGGATTTTTTATTTTTTGCTCGCAGCCCGACGCAGAGAGCGCAGCGCTCGGGAGTCGCAGACTTCTGAGAGATGCCTGGGCGAGCTGCGGGGAGACCAACCTCTAACCTCACTGACTCCCTCCCCCCTCCCCCCCACCCCCCAGGGTCAAAGAGGGAGGGGCGAGCGCTACAGGGGGGATAGGCTGTGTAATTGATGTGGAGAGAAGGCCTGCGGAGGCTTGCTGCGAGCAGGGGAGGGGTGAGGGAGGGGTGCAGGGGGAAACCCGAGGCTCCAGAGGGGGGGAGCAGGACTGGGATGAAGGTCTCTGCTCTATGTCCTCTGGTATATGGCGCTACAGTCTGGATCCTGGGGGGCATGCAGAGTGGCTGTGGAAAACCAAATTCAAACTAAACTCATCATCAGTTTCATTGAAGTTTGTTGTCTTGAAATGTGGTGGGTTTTGAAAAACATGGACCGCCACTGCTGTATAACATTTCTACTTCCGTATTTTAACCACGTGAGTCCGTGTCTGTGAGAAGTGCCGCATAAATACTCGAGTGTCTGGTTGTCTCAACCGTGAGCCAAAGAGCCGTAGCTGTCACAGGAATGAACTCTGCTAGTTTTTAGTCCAAATTCACAGTTGCTCTTTCAGCTGGAAGTCAAAGGGCATGCTGAATTGCTGAGGTCTGAGGAGGTGGGGGGTCAGGGGGGAGCAATGGCTGACAGATGTTTACAGAGGCATTCTGCCACCATAAGGAGCGGGTGGGATTTTGTGCGTTGCCACCAGCAGCGGTCACATCTCAGTCCACTCAGCCGCCACTGGAACAGGCACAGACGGTCTCGGCCCCTAACCTACCCAGATGGCTCGGGTCGCTCGGAACCAGCGGCAGTGATCGCTACCCAACCACCTCCGGCGGCAGGATTACAGAGGCCCACCGTGTTCGAAGCGGCTCTCAAGTTACCGGGGGCATCAAGCGTAGTGATTTTAGAGAGTTATAAACTTTTGAATAATGGTCCAGAGGAAGAGTTTTTGCAAGCCGCCAGCCTATGTCTGTGACGGATTTGTCTTTACGTTAGCCGCGATAGCCAATTCCTCTGCTTGTCTTTGTTTATGAATTGCATTTTCCTTGCGACATCGCAACCATTTTGGGGAGGTGCTGAAGCATCCCTAAATTCAATCCCTAAAGTCAATTTAAAAGGGCGTTAATAACATGTTGTACATGTTGTCTTTATTAGTCTTTAGGCACGGGAAAAAAAAATAATGGCATTGGATGGCAACACATATAAGTGTCCATTGTAGAGGTCGACGCACAACTGTGAGATGAAGATTACTTAATATAAGAGGAATAGCTGTCCTGTCTAGTGACCGCTGTCCCTGAAAGGGTTAAACATGACTATAATATTGGCCAATTTCCAAAAAAAAAGGTGGTTGCAGAAGTAAAAAATGCCTCTGAGAGCAGAGGTAAAATGTTTGAAAAGTCTTGCGGTTGATCGATTGAGGTCACAATCAAAGCACCGGGTTTTACGGGCATGTTGTGGGACGGGATTTAGCAAGCATGCGTATTAATGGCGATGACCCCTGATTTGCTATGCTTGACTATAGGAGAAAACAGATGGTGTTATGTGAAAAAAAAAGGGGGGGTGGTGCGGCGTCAATTTGGCTCTCAGAACGAGTTCCTCGCTCAGAGACAGTTGGTTTGCTGAGACACTGAATGCCGCCTGCATGTTTCCAGTCCAAGTGTCTCAAGGCGGGAAACCTTCCAAACACCATCAAGCAAGCAAACGAAACCTATTCTCACACAAATCAGTTACTGTTTTATGCTTTGACTCCCGGGGATGCTTAAACAGGACCCGACAGTATGCGTTGTAAAAAAAGAAAAATCAAATGAGGCCTCAAAAGTCTACATTTTAATACGACCGCCAAAAGGTGTGAAATAAACCAATTTGAAATGGATTTTTTTTAAATTTTTTTTTGAACAACGTAAGACAAGGCAAAGGTATCCATCTGTTACACGATCGGCTGCAAGAGGACACTCATCCTGGTGTTATTTCAAGTGACTGATCCCCGTAGCTAATACCCATGATGGAGCACTCTTAGTCTCTTTTCGGCGTCCCGTGAGTGACACCATTGATGCCGGGCAACGTGGTGCCGCTTTCCTCGGACTGTGACTGGCAGAGTGTAACGCCGATGAAGACTTCATCCCACTCCGCTGCGCTCATGACGGGCGGTTGACCCTTATCCTCCCAGGACCTCTCCCCCCCCAACAGCTGTATCTGTTTTCCGGGGACTGTCATGTCCACCTCAGTTCCGGCACCAAACCCTTTCTGAGTCTACCGCAAACGACGATCGTAAATATTTCCCGCCAAAATTGAGGTCATTGTAGACAAAGGCAACACACTTGTTAGATTGAGTAGGTGTTCCTAATGTTGTGGCCGGATAGCTTGATCGATCGCTCCGTAAGGTGCTCGTTGTCAATCGCGCGGCGCCTTTTAAGTGCCACTTGATGATCAAACTTGCTGCGCAGAATAAAAGTCTGGTGAGAAGAGGCCTACACGCACCTATAAAGCGCCGTGAATCCAACCACCGCAGCGGTGCATTCACAACATTCACGCCTAACACGAGTGTATTTCCTCCCTTGTAAATGGTAATCGAGGAACTCCTAAAGGGAGATGGAGGGCGAATAAATGGAGGATTTTCAGCTTGTTAAATGGGGCATTAGAGGGCTTGTGACTGGGAGTTGTAGGCTATAAAAGCCAACAGTTCGGCTGCACTCATGTTTTAGTGCGTTGGCTCATGACTTGACAGCTTTGCTGTTTGGGTGTCGCTGAGGACCGCGCCTTGGGGGCATGCTTTACGCTGCTCATTTGGCACATGGGGGACTTTCAGGGCCCACCCGAGGCAGATTTAAGGCCGAAGCAAGGAGACGGACTCCCATGTGCCAGTCTGCCTCAGAGACTGCCTCTTGGTGTCTCTTGTTTTTTCTTGCGTTTCTTTTCTTGTCAGCTTTTTTTTGGTTGTTGGCTAAGTGAAGAGCCAATGAGCAAGAACTTGGTGTCTCTTGTTTTTTCTTGCGTTTCTTTTCTGGTAAGCTTTTTTTTTTTTTGGTTCTTGGCTAGGTGAAGAGCCAATGAGCAAGAGACTGCATTTGGATTCATAGTTATCTGTCATGCATTTTTTTTTTTCGCAGATAGACCTGGAGGCAGGGGCAGTCCTAGCTCTAAAGATACCCTGTGTGAGATCCCCACCAATCTTGAAAAGAAAAACTTGAGGGAACCGTCTTGGAATAAGGCCAATGATTGACATGTCATGCAATTAGATGATCGAAAACAATTTCACGTTGCTTTTTTTTTTTTTTTTTTTTTTTACATTTTGGGTGCTTTGCCACTTCACGCCCTCACCGCACATAATGCACATGCCAGAAACTATGACCGGCTTTGTAATGATTTCTGCTTCTTTGCATATTTTCAATAAGGTATTCCTGGAATCAATTCCCCTTAAAACATCAGAAACAGTCCGTTAAAAAAAAAACAAAAAACACACACACACAAATGATGCCAAAAAATGCAGAAGAATCTTTGCATATGTCAGGTGTAATACTTTACATTTCTTGGGAAATTACCCATGTTCTCCATGCACTATATCATTTTTATGAACACAATCAGTGCCCAACGAGCCTTGACCCGATTCAGCCAATAAATCAGAGCACAGCATAAAGAAATAATATCAATCAATCTTAGCAACTCATGTGGTCTGAAAGAGATGCATCTGTTGCGCACCGACCGGTCTCTGAGCAACCACGCGGAATCCTCGGAGCATTCGCGCAAGTCATTTGAGGAATCCGAGGATTGTCACGGTGCGGCGAACAGCACCCCGGCCGGCTTTTGCAAATGGACAAAAACGTCAGCGGGCAACACATCACAGGCGGCCGTGTGGACATTCAAGCAAAGCAGCGTGTTCTCTACAAAGCATATCCACATGCCTGAGTTTGAGTTGTGTGATCCGCGGAGTAACCCGGGAACAATAAACATTTTTTTT